ACGCGTGGACATAGCCATACGTATCGACAAGTCGCTCGTGGACATCGCTACGTAGTTGCCAATGTGCACCACCCATGGACATGCGCTAGCTTACGGGCCGGTATAGCGATCGTAAAAACTCTTATGGGCCTGGCCGCTCTCATTCTTCTCTCTGCTATCAGATTCTAGTAACTTTTCAGGGTTGCCACCTTAGAGCGTGGTCTTGTGCTAAATCACTTTCAATACACCCATAGACATGAAATATTATAATATATATTTATATATACTTTTTAGCAAATAATGCTCTGTAAATTTAATGTTTAAGAGAAATATTTATTCGTGAATAAAGAAAATAGAATGCTGTAATACAAAATGTTGATGTTATTTTTCTTTAATATTCTATGTTGGGAAATCAACAAAAATATCACTTTCTAGAAAAAAAATTTCTAGTCGATGAATCTGAACATAGTGTATATATTGTATATACAAACGCTGCGATTGATTCAAATTCAGATTAAACTCTACGATAACACTTTTATTTATGTATGCCATGTATTACAAAGTACCACGATTAAAATAAAAGACTTTCATAAATATTTTAATAAATAATTAAAGGAGAGTTAAATATTTCGATAGTTTTGAGATATCAAAGGATATTTATAAATGTAAAAATTTTCTCGTGCAAAAATTTTTATACATTGATTTACAGTACATATATATACATATATATGTATATACACAATCGGAATAAAAAAATAGATTCGTATATTGCGAGAATTGCGACTTACATCTATATAATTCGCTGCACCATACTATTTTTTATTATACAAAGAACAAATAGTTCTAGGCGATGATTCTATTTGATTATTATATCAATTATACAAACTGTAGTTAGATATACATTAATATACATATTATGCACATTGAAGTTTTTTAAACTATTTCAAAACATGTCAGAAGTAATGTTATTTTTTTATAGTTAACGCCGAAGTAAATCAATTCTTTCGCATACTTTTGCTAACATTCGATCATAAATCAATAAAAGTTATATATTATACATATACAAAAATGTTTGGACGTTATTATACATAAAGTATGTATGTGTAAGTAATTATCAAAAATGAAGTAAAAAGTGCAGTGAGTATTTAAGAAATTTAAAGCTATTTTCGTTAAAACTCAGTTTTTAAAAAGTTAAACATTTCTCTAATATTTTAATGTAATCAAGTATATCAAGTATATCAAGTATATTGCATTGAACGCCACAAAAGTTATCAAGAAGCTAATAAACGTATTATTACGATTAAAACCAATTGTTACCATAATTTCAACTGCGATTATTAGATATTCATATAACTTTGACTCTTAAAAAGTAAATTTTGAAATATCACTGCATTAGGCTGCAGTTATATTTCCAAGCGATATGAAATAAGTAAAAGACGGCAAGCAATGAGGGAGATGTCACTTATAGTTGAGACATATATTATTTTTATTCTTCTTATTATTTTCTATTACAAGTATTGAACACCTCCCGTCGCCTGCCGCTTATTATCCATCGCTCATAACGCAGCATTACTAGTATATCTAACTCGAATAAATCGCTATAAATTTGAATTATTTATAAAAGCGTCTATGTTTATTTATACAAGTAGCAATTATCTTTCAATTCGACTTCTTTTTTAAATTTTCAGACACTAAAAATCTGCTAAATATTTATGTACAACTCAAGCTTAAACATATCTCCTCTTCTTTCTAACATATTATCTTCTTTTACATATTTTTTCTGTTTTTAAATAATAGAATACTGAGAATTGATACAATCATTGATTTGATTTACATTGTACAATTACATACAAAAACTGGCAATGATTTATACTGTACATTCAATACCTTCCTATCTTTGAATCAATCTAAGGACATTCTATTTTGAATTATACGCTTTATTTCTGACTTTCTTTTTATGTATTATAAACATTATTTGAACACTAGCTTAATATAATATTAATAATACTTTATATTACAGTTAAATTAATAATACTAACATTACAGTGTGTTATAAAATCCAGAAAGCGTTTAATTGAAAATATCGAGTGACCTTAGATCAAATATTAAAGCTTCATTGAATGTTTATTTTGCCGCTAAGTTGAATTATAATTAAAAAAAGACCAATTATCAGCAATTAAATGAGCACTTTAACAGAAATTTCCAACAGTTGATTGACATTAATGCTTTCACATTTTTATTTTTTTATTAGATCAAGAATTATTCAATATTTTTCATTAGATGTGTGTGCTTTATATGTTTAGAATTTAATATTATTTTAAGAGATAGAAGTGTAAAGTTTATTTAAATTTGATATTATCCAAATATAGTTGATACTTATCCGGATAGCTGATAATTGTAACATTTCAAAACTTCGAGGTATTTAAAATATCTGAACGTCGAATTTAAAATAACGACTTTAGTTCCATATGATATATCGGATCCGAATCAGACATTGTAGAGTTGCATCAAATCTGAATTTAATATTCTATTATTCAGTAAACAAAATTGGAAGAAAATTCTACATTTGATAAATATTAAGCATCTTAATAACAAGTAAACAAATTGATAAAATATTAAGTTCGTGTATTTATAGTTGATTCAACTTGAGACCAGAGTTGCAAACTCTGACCAGCTAGCACCAAGAACACCGAGGTAGTGGGGGCACGCACACCATAAATTCTCGCTTGAGTACGTGTCCTCACCTTCTCGGTGTTCTCGGTGCTAGCCGGTCAGAGTTTGCAACTCTGCTTGAGACTCGATTTGAATTGGAAGTGCTTTTCAGTTAGCGATACAAGTCATTCTGTCCTTGTTCAATATTCAGTGAGAAACAAAGACAGAATGAGTTTTGTGTCGACTTGTGTCGTTAACTGGAAAGCATCTATAAATTTAAAAGAATCAAAATATTGTTTCTGAATGTAACTCAATCGATTGTATGTTGAATAACGATGTCGATTATAAATACAGGTCTGAAAACAAATTTATTATGGCTGCAACGAAATGGCTAAACAAACTCAAGAGCTTTGAAATCATTAAAAAAAGTATGTACAGTTGGTACGCATCAATGTTTAAGATTTTGAGCTGTGCGTATCACTTCTAGATATTTGTGTATTATAACCGTAAGTTCTGGTTAATATTTCATTGCTACGTTTTTGTTGTACAATCAAGATTTTGAACACATTGAATAGTTTATCGGATAGGAAAGTTTTTCTAGGAATTCAATCTCTACATCTTTCAATTAGATTTTTGTCATACAAAACAAACTACAATAAATGATAGTTAAAGATCGATTTGAGAAAAACAAACTATTAGATCATTTACCTTGAAACATTTGTTTCCTTGGTGCACGTATGATATACACTGTTGTCACTACAAGATTTTTATTCATTTGTTACGTGATTTGATGATTCACTTTTTAGGTTTTCTATTTGTTCTGAAATAATAATTTCAGATTGGTCATTGTCCTTTTGTAACGCTATAATAATTTTTTGTTCAGTGGAAGACTGGCTATCAGAAGAGCCCTCCTGAGTCGAGGTAGCGGCTTCCTAAAGTTTGATATATATTATATTGTATTTGTACATATTATGTTATATTTGTATGGCATATTATGTTTACTTAGTGCATGGTTCGACTGAATTATACTTGCCATACTTCGTATCTTCGTGTGTGTTTTAATATGTTTTGTTAAATGATCCGATCGCATAAATTTCTTAGTACACTCTGGACACTGGAAACGTTTTTCACCAGTGTGAGTTCGACGATGTCTTTGAAGCTCATCGGATCTGGTGAATTTTTTACCACAAAATATCCAGCTGCAAACAAACGGTCGTTCGCCGCTATGCCAACGTAAATGAGCACGTAAATGGCTCGTTTTTCCATATACTTTATTGCATCCGGCAATGTGACATACATGTTGCCGCTTTCTGCTCATGTCTCTGTTTCTATAAAAAATAAAATAGATTTTTAACCTAATACTTTTAGTCTAAATAAACGAGTGAAACATTTATTGTTGAAAGAATATTAATGATCGATATTATTACACTCACTTGTTTTTTAAATTATTATACTCACTTGTCTCCGTCGCCACAGTTGGGACATGTACACGCGACTCTTCTACGGTGTTGCTTCAGAGTATTGTCATTGTCCGCATTCGAGTTATTTGCATTTGACATTTGATGTTGATGAGATATAGGAGCAGCAGATGTCAAAGTTCCGTTAGATTGAAGGGTCTGAAGAATTTGCCACTTTGTAGGATCACTCGTGTCAAGCTGCACGGTTGGTGTAGCCGCAACAATAGGTGTAGCAGTAGTAGGTAACGTTTGCATTGTAGCTGGTTGTAAGGCGCTCGCTGGTATTACTTGAACATTGCCTAAGCCTGGGATATTTTGTACAGGTATTGATTGCAAAAAACTGTTAGTTGCATTCATTCCGGTTGTTGGCTGAATTTGCATTATACTTCCATTGCTTATATTCCTCATCATGTTACCTTGCTGCGCGGTTAAATTTGCTAATGCCGATGCAGGAATAAGAGTTAATTGTTGACCTTGCGCTCCTGTGTAAGTAAACACCATGAGTCATTATTCAATCTCTCAAAATGTTATTTTGTTGTAATACATAATCTAATACATGTGTGTGTGTGTGTGTAATTGATTCGCTTACCTGTAATCGTAATGGGTTGTACCGTTGGTTGAGTTGATTGAGCAGCAGGGATGTGTATTACTTGTCCAGCGGTTAATTGACTGGCGTCAATATTAGTTATTTTAATGTCGTTTTCTACCGTTTCTGGTGGTCTTGTTAAAGTAGATAATGTTTGTACATCGATTTTTTGACCATCTTTTGTAGTAATAACATTAGTATTTCCAGCTATACTTCTTCCTATAGCACCTATACCAAGTACCTAAAAGAAATGTACCATGTTAGAAATAATTGTATCACAAATGTAGTGTTTCAGATTTAGAAATATATATTACCTGAACATTGGTAGGAGTTGCAACTGTTGTGCTCCAAGTCGCTACCGTTGACGATGGGGTCGATGATTGTTGTATCTGCTGCTGCTGCTGCTGCTGCTGCTGCTGCTGTTGTTGTTGTTGCTGTTGTTGCTGCTGCTGCGACTGTGACTGCTGCTGCTGTTGTTGCTGTTGTGATGATTGCGCTTGCTGTTGCATCACTTGTTGTACTACTTGTTGTACCTGCTGTTGTTGTACTTGTTGGTGTTGTTGCACTTGAGCTTGAGCAACTTGTTGCTGCTGAACCGACTGTACTACTTGTTGTTGAGTTTGTTGTTGGACAACTTGCTGTTGCGCTTGTTGATGTGCAACTTGCTGAGCTACTTGAGTTACTTGCTGACTCTGTCATAGTACGTCCATTATTAGTAGATAGATGTATCAGAGTGTAGCAGCAAAAAAAGAAAAATGATATGAGTGTATATTTGAATTTTACCTGAAGGCTTTGTAACTGTGGTAAATTGGCAATTTGCACTTGTTGTATCTGTCCATTCGGTGTGATTATTTGTGCCACTTGAGGTATTTGCTAAAATTAAAATAATTAAAATAAGCGTTTTGTCAATAATCGATAATGTGTAGAGCAAAATGTATTTTGTAATCTGATAAAGATTTACTTGCTAAATCCATTATAATCTATTTTTTATGATTGAATAACTCACTTGTGTAAGTTGCGGTATCATTTGGGCTGCAGGCATATTAAACACACCACCCAAGGCTTGAACGGGAAAATGCACCGTTTGAAAAACGGTCTGTCCGTTGGTAGTGACAGGTACTTGTACAGGCACCGTTTGTTGAACATGTTGCATAGGAAACTGAAATGGTCTTACTTGTACACTTTGACCTATAACACAAGTTAGTTGATTATTCTACTCGACACTTGTTTAAAATACATTTTATACTGATTACAATCCAAACTAAAATTATAATAAAAAATTTAATTTTAAAATTGTAGTTAAAAATATATATTTAAAATAAAAAAATAAATTGGAAATTTAGAAATAATTCTATAATAAATAGAAAAGCATTTCTGCAATGCAATACGTACCTGTTGGCAATTGAACTGTTTGTCCTGTAATATTTTGTATAATCGATGTAGGAAAGACATTTGGTGCTCTTATGAGACTAACTGGTTGTGGCGTAATAATTGTCTGGCCATTTGCTAATTGTACCTGCTGACCAGCAAGTTGCATTTGTTGACTATTGGCAGTAGCAAACTGCATTGTTGGCTGTGTTTGATGATGGCTACCTGCCGCGGATATAGCAGAAGATGGAATAAACAAAGCTTCCTGACCATCTATATTAACGGTCTGCATTTGTGGAATTACACTATAGCTGAGCTGTTGCTGTGGTTGTTGTTGCTGTTGCGCTTGCTGCTGCTGCTGAGTTTGTTGCTGATTCTGTTGTTGCTGCTGAAGAGCTGCTTGTGCCTGAGTACTGATAATCTGAGCACTCTGTAGAAATATAACATTTTTTTAAATTCAAAACAAAAAGAACTAGAGAAAAAAAAATCTACAAAACTTTGCAATGTTCACATACTTGTAAGAATTGATGAGGTAGTGATTGTACAGAGATCGCTTGTGTTCTTTGCTGATCATGTTGTGGTTGTTGAGTTTGTAAGGGCACAAAGTTTTGAAGTGTAATAACTTGCGGTTGTTGTTGTTGCTGCTGAGCTTGTTGTTGAATATTATTAACATCTTGTTGTTGCAATTGTTGCAATACACTTGCGTTCAAAAAACGTATTTGTGGTTGCGCAGTTTGCTGCTGTTGCTGCTCTAGTTGTTGCTGATCTACTTCCTCTTGTTGTTGCTGCTGTTGCTGTGCTTGCAAAGGATCATCTTCAATTTCTTCCTATACATGCAATTTATAGAATGATAATTTTTTACAATATGATGATCTGTTTAGAAGAGAGATAATTTCAATGGTAAAATTTACATGCTTATAACTTACTTGTGGAATATTTCTTCCATCTATACTTCGTTTCATGATAAATAATTGTGTTTTACACCATACAAGATTTATAATATTGCATGTAATGCCATTTCGTATAAAGTCCTTTTGTGCTAGGAATCCATAGTGTCTAACAAATAGCACTGTATTTTGAGAATTTCCTTGGTATAAAAATCAAACTGTCTCAGAGAGATAACGTTTCTATAACCACAAATATAATTTTCAAAACATTAAGGTAAAGTTAATATATGAACACAATATATGAAATAAATAGCAAAAGCTAAATACATATCAAAAGAATTTATAGAAGCAAGTGAATCTAGAAAAACAAATAACTAGTAAGTTGTTGCTGCAAAACCAGTAGCAAAAGAGTCGCACAAAGATTTCTATTTTTAGAGAACAAAAAAACATAAAGCATCACATGTTATGTATATATCTTGCTTTTTTAATAAAACAAAGATGCTACCAGATAAAATAGTTTGATATTCTTAATTCTATTACTTTACAATAAAAATAAAACATTAAGAATACATAATTTATAAACATCAAAAAGTAATTGTGCGTATGTATCTGTGTGTAAAAACATTTTTTCGCAAAGGTATAAATATAATTTTGATATAACAAGAATTTCCATCACCACTTTATCTTACACACTTCCACTGACAAAACAAAAGATATTCTCGCGACACGCGGGAACTCTCAAACGTGAACCGCCTCTTTATCCACCCCTGTATTCATCGCCCCACCCGATTGATATCAAAGCACGCGCATGAGCCTTGACACAATAGCAGAGCAGTGTGTATCGTCATACCGCCCACTTGGTTGTCCGCCGCTTGTTCGCGTTCTCACGTCGTACCCGCGATAACGGGGAAGGCAGACTCGCGATGCAAGCCTCCACCCACCGCGCACACGGGACTCCACCTTGAAGACAAACACGTGTTGCCCCGCAAAAGACACCCACACTCATACTCTACCTACCTACGCGTGCAAGTCAGATGTTACCAACGCTACTAAACTACTGTAGTCATTCAAGTAGTTTGATTAAATAGATTCCATTCAATTAAATAGAAAAAACGTATTGCTTTTAACCATACGTCGCTTACAAAGGATATAATCTGCAAAGACGATGTTGCATATATGTGTATCTACGTTAGTAAGACTAATATAGTAGAACATTCGCGAAAGCTCGCTCAGCAACTCGTGCATCGCACAAATGCATGCGCGCGCACACACACACACACACACACACACACGTGCGACTTACTGTACTATATGTATGTTTATGTACGTTTCTATATGTAGTAACTACTATAGTCCACGTACCGAGTAATCACTTAAGTGTTGACTGTAGCTATCTTTCCGATATAATTAAATATACGCTAATTTTAATGTTCGAAGCTGTTTGTTACCGCAGTAGCAGTGCGATACATGCTGAACGTAGAGTATTCTGCAATAGATTATGTGTGATCGTACAAAGCGTGTATTATCACTACAAGTTGACAAAAAGTGATACAATAAAACTCATCAGAATTATCAAATCACAACCACGTGTACACGTACTACGTCTTCAACTACACACTCCGGTCAATCGCGCATCCACCCACGTTTTAACGAGGGAAACGACACAAAACACGAATGCTGACGAATACCGCTATGAAGAGGCACAGTAGAGAAGTACCCATGGATACGAGAACAGGACCAATGGGCGGTGCGCGAGGTGGCAACGTTGCCGTACATTCATCAAGATGATACGGCTCCGCTGATTGGTTCGCTGCGTACACGATTTTCCTGGCTGGAGCTAGTCATAGTTAGCTGGGGCGTCGTTCTACAGGGACGTCTCTTCGGCAAGGATGTATATGGAAAATCACTTCGGTCAACTAGCTTGTTAAACAGGATACCACGCATCTTATTCCCTACATTTTTTCTGATATCCTTTACTTCTTCCCACTTTTTACCCAAAAGTAAAGTATGAACTACAGTGACGAAGAATATAGAACATAGTATGTATAATTTTTGTAACAATGTGCTGCAATGTCATTTGCTACAACACGACTTTCACTTTTTTTTTGAGTTCCTATTAGAATAAAAATCCTAACAGTACAGATGTTCAAAAGATCTCAATCCATTAGATATCCATGTACTATATGCGAGTAATGGGAATGATTGTGTGATTTATCTGTATCTATTAAGAAAGAGTATTTATTAAGAAAAACTGTCCGAGAGAGAGAGAGACAAAGTGTCCGACAATTAGTGTAAAATCTCTCGTAGGCAGGTAAAAGGAGTAAAATTGAGTCGAAAAGTCCTGAACCAGTTTTTTCTATTACATATAATAAAGGAGTAATTATTAAATAAATCAAGGCAATCAGCGCCTATCTTTAGCCGACGCACGTCAGTGAACCACGCGCCTGGTGTGCGTGAGCGCTCCGCGCGGCTCACTGACGTGCGCCTGGCTAAAGATCGGCGCTGATTGGCTTGATTTATTCAATAATTACTTCTTTATTATATATAATAGGAAAAAATGGTTCAGGACTTTTCGACTCAGTTTTACTCCTTCTATCTGCCTACAAGAGATTTTACACTAATTGTCGGACACTTTGTATATATGAAAGAGAGAAAAATTATCTCAATTTTTTACATAATTATTTATCTCGTATAATTATTTATAATTATATAATTATAATTATTTATACTCAGATATGGAATTTGTCTATATATACAGTACTTTTTTGACGAGTTAATTAAAAGGAATTTATAAAAGTAGAAGAATATTTTATTTTACAGAAATAATCATGTTAACACGAATGTTATATTCCGCAACTAACAAGTGTTATATGTTAGTAAATAATTTGTAAGTACATTATTTGTTTTTACTTTGTACCATAAACATATAAGTATGAACTAAAAATTGCGAGGTACATATGTATTCATTTCACGATACGTTGTAACATGTAACTTCGCAAATCATCAAAAATAACCGAACGTTTCTCTTTGAAGTTTCATGAAATTCGACGGTGTGTGTGTGTGTGTAAACTCAATGCTGTACGTAACACGAAAATAATATGCAATCGTACCCATAGACGTATATGTCAGCGTAACTTAATTGTGTATTTACATTCGTGTCATTCATGTGTAGAATAAAAATACATATTTAGAAGTCAATTTTTCTATTATTTATATATTGCAGAAACGTTAATAAACACAAGGCAAAACTCGTGTACGTCGCACATTCAGCGCGCACGTTTGTTTGCTTCGCGCGAAGCTAACTTCACCTTTCTCGTCGCATTCTACCGACATCGCACCGAATTTTTCTAGCGATGTCATTGTTGACGGTCGTAATTTCTAGTCTATACTTGTGTATGGTTTATATACGATAAACCAAATAATTGATAATGTATTCCAATTTGAATACCTAGGCAACCAGCTAACGTTATAATGACGTTAATATAAAGTCAGTTTTTGACCAGTTCGACGTTAGTTTATGACGTGATATTAACGTAATGACGACGTGAGTTTGTCTCGTCAAAAATAACGACAGGTTAATGACGTTTACTTACGTCATTAATCTGACGTAACGTCATTAATGTGTCATCCCACATAGCACGTAATATTACTGCAATATCACACACAATATTGCTTTTCTATTGCAATATTACACTCTAATATAATAGAAATATTACCGTAATGGTAATGTAATATCACAATAATATTAAAATGTCCGCCAAAATGCATCACAGTAATATTACAATAATATGTAAAAAAAACTAATGGCACATTGTAAGAGGGTAATTAATTCGAGATTTCACTCAAAATAATCTTTGGAGACTTGATTCAGTTTGTCGATTAACTAATTAACCCTCAATGACCTCAATGAAAAGTATTAGGTCCGGAAAAAATCCTGAGGAGTGATGGTGAGATTTGAACTCGAGATCTCCATATTCGCAGCATCTGCACTTGTTCCTTACTTAAAATATAATTCTTTTCTCTGCTTTTCTCAAGCTATTCTACGCATTTCATTTATTACTTATTTAAATTATTTTTTTATCACAAATATTGCACTGCAAATGTTTAATAAAATAATAACTTAAATAAGTAATAAATTAAAAATATTGCAGTGCAATATTTTTAATAAAATGCCTGCAACAATGTATAAGACTATTTCTCTTATTATTAGTAATATTATTAAATATAATTTAAAATACGTTTTTCAGCGAGAACAAATTTTTTGTAACATGTACTGATCCTTAAAGTCAATTTTTAATAAATATATACCAAATGATATAGAAAAATATGTACACATAAAAATATATACACATTTATATGTATCAATTTTATTATACATATAATAATAATTATGTAGTAAAAATGTTATACACAAACAAAGTGTTTTTTGTTGATATACTACATTTTGAAAACAAAGCATTTATGGTTAAAACAAAAGTTGTTAGGTTTTTACAACAACGTAGCAAAAGATATACAGGGTGTCCCAAAATTGGTTTAACATCTCTCGTAGGCAGGTAGAAGGAATAAAACTGAGTCGAAAAGTCCTATACCATTTTGCTAGATTCGCAATAGTTACTGAGATTTTAATTAACAAAGATCCGCGAATAAGCGTGCATCGGGCTGTCTTACGCGCGTAGGACAGCCCGGCGCGTTTCACACAATTACATTTTAATATGTATATGTTATAGTATATGCTGTTATATTAGCTCCTCCTATATGTCGCTATGGGTAACACCGTTAGCGCGCGAAGCGCGGCGGGCAGTCTTAGTAAAGTCTTATGCGCGTAAGACAGCCCGATGCATGCTTATTCGCGGATCTTTGTTAATTAAAACCTCAGTAACTATTGCGAATCTAGCAAAATGGTATAGGACTTTTCACCTCAGTTTTATTTCTTCTACCTGCCTACGAGAGATGTTAAACCAATTCTGGGACACCCTGTATATAAGTTGATATATGACGTGAACGCGACATCTAAATGACGTCATATCGGCGACCTCAACTTTTGGTATTGTAATGACGTCAAAATAACATACCATTTATATTACTTAACGTCGTAGTCATCAAAATCACTTCATAATCACGTCATTATCACGTAAGCTTGCTTGCTGGGTATTTAACGATATATATACATAGTAATTTGTATATTACTTTCCTGTATTTTTATTAAATCTAGATACTTCTGTAATATCAAAAAATGAAGGGCAAAACAAATCTATCACCAATTTGATAATGCCTTCATTTAAGAAATATGGTATAAGTATATCTAAGAAAACTATAATTAATAATTATACTTAATCTTTATTTTTATTGAATCTAGTATTTATAAAATAATGTATATATTGCTAATTTTTTGTGTTATAAAAACATTTATATAATAAAACATTTATATAATGAAATATTTACATAATAAAATGAAAACCTTTTATTGTGCAGTGTTTATTTTATTTACTGTGAAAAATTAAAACCTAACTCTTCCTTTTATTAACTCTATTTTATTAAAAACGAAAATTTACATATATGTCTGCGTATAAAATCACTTCTACACATTATACATACACACACATTATATATACATTATATAAGTACACGATAGCAAGAAATCGTGCACGTCAAAAGAAATAGTTTCTTCTCCGATTCTCTTTTAATACGAATATTTCGATGCTCGTAACATACAAGCGTTGATAATCTGTCAGATAAAATCCATCAAATAGAAAAGAACTTTAGAGCAGGAGAAATTTTAAAGAAAAATTATTTCTTTTACCGCGCATGATTTACCGTCTTGCAATACGACATATGTATCACGTAGCGAAGAGCAGACGACACATTCCAATCGGTTACTATGGTCTAGTTTCCACCGAAACCCTCAACTTCGGTACAGATCATATATGTAATACTCCTATATTGCTAGTACGGTGCCGACCTGAAGCTCACCGTTACGGTGCAGACAATATAGTAGCCTCTCTCTCCAGCTGCTTTGTGCGCATGCGGCGCATAATGACGCTCGACCATCTATGCCCATATTTGGAC